CCGGTTACAAGGTTCGAATTTCCTGATTGCCTCCTCCCCGAAAGGCACATTAAAACAACATAAGTATTACATTAGTGTTTTTGATCCAATGGTGTGAAGTCGAAGATTACCGACGACTCGCCGTAGCGTTCTGAGTCTTAGCAGAAGCTTTAGGAGCCCAAATCATTACGGAAATCGCACAATAATTAAGTCTGCAAGGCCTTTGGGCTACTGACAGCCTAAAGGCTACGCCACGGAGCCAAAGCACAGCTTCTAACTATCCGAGTGCCCACTAATTTAAGCACAACCAAATCGCTATAGCTCTTCTTGCGTTAGCAACCCTAGACTTCTCTAAAGTCGAAAGAAGTTATAGGAATACTGCGGAAGATATACGACTGATATGTAATACGATAGTGGTTTATCCCTCGATATTGGTGAGGCGCCACTTTTGTACCTCGCTGGGTGGGCTGGCTTTCGGGCCATGCCAATAGCCCAGACACCTTCTCTGCGCTGAATATATATTCTGCCCGAGTATTGTGTCTTCATTCGTCTTCAGGGAGTCTGGGGACGCTACAGATATGCAGGAGAGCTGAAACTATCGAAAATACAATGGCAGAGCCCAAAACATTTGCACGAGCAAATTGTAGAGTTAAACGAACGACTAGTGTATTATACCTGCACCTTCATTAAATCAGAACTAAGTTGGCAAACTAATTTTGGAGAAGTGCAAGTATACACACATCAAAACCTATATAATTGTAAATTCCTCGACGTTATGTTTGAGGTGAATAACGCGATTGTGAGTTGTCAAATCCCCCCAAAATTTAAAAAAGCGATTGCTCTAAAATGGGTAATTTCTTTTGTTGTTTACATATGCATGTAATGTTAGTGTCAATACAGTCAAAGACATGTTTACTTTTTTCAAATCATACCCACCTTCAACCTACGCTAACAATAGCAGCACAAAACACCCCGCATTTCATAGATGCTTGAATGCGATTTTTAGGTGGCGAGGGAGCAGGTTAGATCTAGAGGAGGACAAAACCTGATTCCCTTATAAATCTGATGATTTATAAAATTCCACACCACACAATGCATGATGTCACCGTCCGTCTAATCTCCTCAATCCCAGGATGTGGAACCGAAGGCGGTAGAGCAGAAGTTGCAACATTGTAATTACTCCGCAAGTCATTTGGATGAACACTTCAACTAGGTTATCTTGATTGGGAAAAATGGGTTTCAGATTTCAGGCATTTACAAAAATATCACAATAGACGCAGAGTGAGTTAGAATTTACTACTTGTGACTGACTTCTCTCCTGCAGCAGACTTCCGATGCACGGATCACCTATCCCAATGCATAAGTGGATGTGAATAAGCCGTGTGTTACGTGAAGCCAGTGAGTTTGTGGCCTTAATGCTCAGTATTAAGCTAGATGCATGTTTGCATCTAAAATGTCCTAGTAGGCTGTGTTCTCTGATGATATGTGATTGTTGACCCTTAGAGTGATGGGTAAAAAGGCGCTTAGCTGCAATAGATCTGATAAAAATAGCTGAGTTTGCGGAAAAGAAATGCAGTATATTTAAGGCGAGCACCTCGAATGGATTCTATGCTACAGGGTCATTAAGAAATCGTCTCTTTCCACCTCCAAAGGAGATAGATTCTTGTCTCTTGTTAATGCTCCCTTCATAATGTGCTCTCCGACGGATGCGGCTCGCTAAAGGCTGCCGGCTTGTTACCACCACCGATGGCAGGAAAGATTCCATACTTCCATCCCACGCTCCCCCTGCAATTTTTTCGAGACTATCGTTGGTGGAAGTTGTAGTGGCTGGAGGCAGATCAGGGTGAATTTGCTGCATCCACCAAGACTTCACATCCTGGCAAGAAGTTTGAACGTTCTGCGTGAAAGCAGTCATTTCAGGGTGTTTATCGGTCAAACTCTTCACTGCAGATCGCTTTTCACAACTTGGCGAGATTCGAGTGCTTTCACTCTGTCCAGACTTTTCTAAAATCTCACCAGCCTGCTCCGACAGGGAACTAGCACCTGAATCAAGAAACTGCTTATCTCCGGTAGGAATCGAGAGGCTGGGTGAGGTAGTGTTTAATTCGATAAGTTCGATTGACGAATTCTTCATTTGACCCGTACCCGCCTCTTGAATGGCTGGCATTCCGGAGCCAGAAAATAATGAAAGTCGCGGTAATTGATCAGAATCCTCGACTACACCTGAGAAGAGCGAAGTGTGGGTTTTTGAGGCCCGCATGCTTCGACGTCGTAAAAAGTTGCCACTGGAACCGGCAACCCTAAACCCCTTGTGAAGCTCCGTTTCAGGTGGATTCATGCTCGACGTGTTCGAGGATGCCTGCTTGGATTTCGTACACGAATCAACAAAAGTCAATGAAGGTGAGGCAGGAGAGGCTGGCGGGGGCAGGAGACTGCTTCCTCCCGCCTTATTACCGATGCTGTTTGACAACAAACCATCTGGGATGTGCGTATCAGATTTCAGGGGCTTGGTGTCCAGACGGCCATTCACGCGTCCTCGCGCTTCGCAGGTGTCCTGGAAACCCGCCATTCGTGCGACCGCAGTATCGGTAGCTCGGGTGGTGGTCGCGACAGGCGAGAGGATCGGTTGCAGTGTCGGTGTTGTGGGGGGACTCTGATTAGTTGTTGATGCCGAGGGGGGAATGTCGACGCTCTCCGTTCGAGCATTGAGTTCGTCACGGCTGAATTTAATTTTGGATGGACGTGTTCGAATGGAAGACTTGGCAAAGTCAGCTTTCGGGGTGGAGATCTCCTTATTTGTATCATCAAAAGACTGACCGCTAGTTGGACGGTCTGATCCAGAGTGCATGGAAAAATGAAGATGACCGTGTTTCTAAAAGAAAACAATCCTCCCTTTGGTAACCAGCGGTTAACTACACTCTACCCAGATGGATACCTTCATGTGACAGATGGGAATGTTCTGTGGCTAGTTCAGAAAACTGTGCATAATTACACTTGGAAAATTTATTAACTCTGTAATATTGCATACAGATTAAATATTCTACCGGAAATTACTTGACGCTTTCTAAATATGCAGCGTTCAATCCATGTCGCAATGGTTTGTCTTGCAACTTCTTCCTCAATGGCGTATTCTAGGTCCTCGCGTGCAATCAATTCCTCCAGTTGGAGTGTCTTTGTGATATCCACCGTCCGGTAGGCAAGGACCCTCGAGAATACGAAAATGCAAATTTGCTAGATTCTCATAAGAAACCGAGAACATTTCCCTTTCGGTGAAATTTCGCTTTGCACAATATGTTAAGGGTGTATTACAACCATTAATCAACTATCATCTGACTTACATCAAGACATCGTGGAAACTGACTTCTTTGTCGCGACCGCCACGCAGAGTTTCCACCTCGTAGCACATTTCTTTGAACAGCTGCTTGTCACGCTTTTTGGATAGGTCGAAGCCAACCCTTTCACGAGGAATGAGACGAAGAAGGAAACGAACGTAATAAGCTTTTACCATACCCTGAGCACATGGAAAGGGATAGGTAAATCCAGTGCGACTGAGAATAGGATGAGTGAACAGGAGAGCGTAAACCCACCTTTCGGTTTACATCAATGATATTCCACGCTTGTTGAAAGTTGCGTATGTCATTGTAGCTCATTATGGCATCCTCGTCATTCGAGTAGAATAGCGAGAAGTTTTCCATGATGATGGCTGAAAATGGCGTGAGAAAGTCGAATTGCAATAATGCAAGTATTGGCAATAAGTATTGCATTCGTTGTAATTATTAAAAGAACCATCCATATGGGGACAAATATTAGTCAAGATTGAAAAGCGCATACCGACAAGAACATTAAGCATGACATAGGTAATGATAACGTAGAATGAGCAGAAGTAGGCGAGAGACGCCTGTGCATTGCCACAATTAGTCTCCCAAAAGGTTTCTTTCACAATGCAGAAAGGTGGTTGAATCATACAGTCATGCATAATTTTATTCCAATCTTCTCCTAAAGCAAAAAAGCACAGCTTTACAGTTTACTTAGGGGCAAAGAAGTTTGCTCTTGCCAATGGGACAAACCTGTGACGATTCGAGAGAGCAGGATGATAGCTCGAAAGGCGTTGTGAAAGTTGGCATGACGGCCAAGATTATCACCGAACTTCACGGAGCCGAAAAGCACGACCCCCATTAGGCCATAAACCAGCATCAGGACGACCATACTTGTCAAAATGAAGAGCGACTTGTAGATGGACATCGTCACAGTGAGCATGAGCATTTTTAGAGTGACCTGTGGTAAAACACAACAATAGCTTTCTGAGCTTTTGCGTTTTTTGTTTAAACTTCATTTTTCTTCAAGGTACAGGCAATCCCGAGCGTAAATAAAGGGATTCCTAATGCAAAAAGATAATTTTTATTAGCAATTGCAAACGCTAATTGAACTAAAGTAACCGAATTCCTTGGTACAATAAATCATGGTTTATAGCAAAAGGAAAACTTCAAGGCTTATGTTTTCTATTTAAGGAAATATCCTTGGATTTTCAAAATGATTATAAGTAACTAAGAATTAATAGTATGAGGGTCTTTTGACGAAATGAGGCAAAAATACCTGAAGTAAAAATCAAAAGGAAAGTTTAATTTGCTAGAGGAAGTGCACGCATTGACTGCTTCAGGTGAGCCTGTTGCTTTCACCTACCCGAGATCAGCTTGAATGTCAAATGGTATTCGGGTATAAAGGAAACCATCTTCAAATAACCATGGTTGTGACCTAACAGATCCTCACAGAATTTCATCAAGAGGGGTGTAAAAACAAATAATTGCTTATAGGCAAGGACAAAAGTGAAGTTGTCTTACGTATTTCCCAGCGATTGTAAAGAAGCGGAGCATTTGTATCGCCCACCCGGAGTTATTACTGATGATTCTATTCGCCTGAGAATGCAGCATGAATGCGTTACCATGGTTTCACCAAATATATACGATCTCAATAGTGGTAAATATAAATATAAGTCCCACATAAAACAGCACACCATAATATTAAGCCGGTCACGATGCTGTGTATCTGCGTAGGGTCCTTGGAGAAATTGTCCACATTCCAATCCATCAAAGACTGCCAAATTCATCAATGGTCGCTTAAACAAACTGCCAATATTGCCTCGTCTTTAAAAATACATAACCTAACAATAAGAATATTATATAGTTAACGAAACTAAATAAGCGTAGGAAGATGTACCGGTGTTGAACGTAGACTGAAGTGAAGAACAATCCAAATGAGACCGAGGGTGGAGACAAACATATCAAATCGGTTTCGCTTTGACTGCCAGTAGCCATTGAAAGTGAGTGCAATTATTTTCATTACACATTCCACGCAGAAGAGGAAGGTGAATATCATGGCTAATGTGACCTGCACCCGATAGCGTATCTTCACCCAGGGATTGGCCTCCGCTCCACGCTCGTTAAACTAGTTAGAATGACGTGGTTGCAATTCGTTTATCGCAGATAGAAAGTCTAAAATCAGGTAGCAACTTCACTTACAGGGAAGAAGAGTAGAGCACTGTTGAAGAGAACCAGTAGAGCAAAGGCCCTTTTGAAGGCAATGTGCTGTGTGATGTCGTAGATCAGGCACCTAAATCGCAGAAATGTTGTTTCGCTGGATATCGGCATCTGACCTGGCTCCGGCCGAAGTTCTATTTAAGACATGCTCATTTTAGAGGGCCCTCACTTATACTGACAATCTAATCTAATAAAGGAGGATTTACTTGGCCGGGGTGGTATGTGCAGGGGCTGGGTTAATTTGATTCTTCCCTTTAAATCCAGCCAACGCCGTTGGTCAACGGTCAGCAAAGCAGTACCCTATAAGTGGGGGAAGAAACATAAATTCTCGGCAAAAAGTAATGCGAAATGCAGAACTTTCCCCAAAAAACGTCAATACTATTTGACAAGGTGATAATATTCAAAGCTTGGAGTTCGTGAAGAAGTCTAGGATTTACGGTTATCCTAAGTTCAAACTCGAGAAAAGTCAATATGGACAGAGACATTGGAACCTTTGGGCACTCAAAACTATAACGTAAAAACAATAGGTACTGTTTAAGAGTGGCTCGCATAGAATTCTTCAAAATGCCGTTTGTGTCATCCAAACAACGCATTTCGTTCGAACGCGCATCAACATTAGTTTATGAAGTTAGTGACTATTGGCGATAGCGCAGACACCGTCAAAAATCCGATAAAAAACCAAGGGAAATCAAAAGAGCCACTTGCCTTATTTTCGCTATAATTTGCAATAACCACACCGACAAACAGCGTTAGTCCGATTAGGCAGCCGACAAACACGAAGAGGTGAATGTACACGACGTGAGTCTAAAGGAAGCAGATAAGGGCTCCTTCAGATAGTTCAAAAAGCATTTGCCAATTCATAAAAGTGGTATTTTATTCGAAGGTCAGTCTAGCGACGCGTTTGACATTTGGAACGTGCAATTTGTTTTATAGACCCTTAAGGAATTACATGACTTTCCAGAACGCCTGTCCACGATTAAATAGGTTCTATGCAGCAAAATTAATTTGGAATGACTTTAGTACCCTTAAACATTTTAAAATAATCCACTGGAGAACCTACCGGACCGATACGAGCTTTGATCACGTCTCTGATCTCCACCCATCCTTCCAACGAAAGCACCTCAAAGAGAGCTAGAATAGCATTTCCGATGTTGTCGAAGTTGAAGTTCCGGGGATTGGCCCACACTCGGGGAACCAGGAATTTCGGTGCGGATCCCTTGAAACTCTTCATCCGCGTCACAGACAGCTCCCGGTGGAAGACGCCTTTGCAATCCTCCTACGAAGGGAACCAGTCAAATAGCAGTAATGGTAAATAAAACGTGGAAAATCGAAAAGCGGATTACAATTTGGGGAGAAAGGCTTGGAGTAACAATTGTGTGAAGTTAAAGCCGAAACCCCAAAGTTAGAGAAAAGCACTAAAAAACGTACGCAATTCGTTCCAATAATATTAAAACCTGTATTTCAAGGGTTTAGCCACGTCAAATCTTTGACATTAGGGTTGATTTGACGGCTACTCCGAGGTTTTATGTCGTTTCTAGACTGAAGAGTTCAGTGACTAGCTAGTGGAAGGCATACGAATTGAAAGCAGGAAATAAGTTGAAAATCGTGTTGGATTCACGTGGACGGATATGGTCGGAAGAAAAAAGCCTACTTTGCGGGTAATTGTTCGGTCATTGCAAATGGCCAGACGTCCGCCGAACATATGCACTCCATAGACGGCGAAAATGAAGATGAATACCACGAGAAGCACTGTAACCTACATTTAAGAAGGGGAAAGTTGATATTATACAATTATTGCAATGGCAGTACGAAGCCTATCGCACGGAATTTAGATAAATTTCGACTCTCACCTCGGAAGTAATATCGATATTCCTTAGTAATAGTCGAGGAGATAAAGTAAATTATTTCCGCACTTTATCATACCACAGATTGATTCCATACCAGTTTATGGTGGACAGAAATAAAAAAAGGCTTCTATCCTACGAAATACCAAATTTGTGAGAATTCGTGTAAAATCACTTAGATACGAGTGGAGATGGAATTCATACATCGAAGCCAAATAAGGGTGGAATATAGTTCTTTAAGAGTCAACGCATCTACTACGTTGCCTCACTCCTTCTTACCTCTTTGTAGGGCTTAGTCTTCAAGAATGTAGCCCCACATCGATTAAATATTTGTTGAAGTACGAATGCCATCTCAAATTCCATCTATCATAATTAAACCGCATAATCACAAGAGGAATTAGTGGATGTTTTTAAGTAATCAGGAACTTAGAATCCAAATTATCGGCAGTCCGATGTGTATGGGAACAGGAGTACGCACCATGAGGATCTCCCGGAAACCACGCACCAGTTCATAGACAACTCGTCGCATCTGTGGAACGAGGCAGAAGATGCGTAGCGGCCTGAGGCACCGCAACACCATGAAGAGCTGGCCTACCGAACCCGGTCCCAGCTTCTCCACTCGCATAAAGTAGCTCACAAACGTCAAGCTCACCTTAAAGCAGAAGAGTGTTTCAAGGACCAAGTGGTTCGAGGCATGGATAGCCAGAGATACAAATATTAGTAGCCTATCGGAATCAACCGAGAACCAATTGCTTACCTCCTTCTTGCGTACGAATAATAAGGTAGTAAACAAACTCTTTATTTGACGACTCATTAAGCATTTTAGTGTAATTTAAGAAGATTGCATTTCCCAATTTGTTCGCACAACAGAGCTACGGCTGCAAAGTGTCGTAAGTGCCACAGAATACCTGCATTGAGCACTTAAATCTTTACTGAGTCTGAACTTGGGTAAGCAAATCAAAACGAGACGGCCGTTCAGTTCTAACAGTATAGCCCTGGTGGTAATTATTTGGGGGTTTAAAACGTTACTTAATCACGATAGGCCAATGTTGAAGAGTAGTGCCTTGTTTTCCTGAGAGCATTTAGCATTTTCAAAAACAAGGGTACGGAATCTCAGAGTAAATATTTTCCGAAAAGGTCTGAATTAGGGGGACAAGAATAACGCTAATGCTAAATCAAAAAACCTAGGCACAGTTGGATCTACTGATACACTATTTCAACTGCTCGGTAATGCATAAAATTCGAACTATTACCGCTGATTCCAATTTATTATGTTATAAACGTATATAATATGCATTATTTTTAATAAGGAATGTAAAAAATGCGCATTACTCAACTTAGAAAGCAAAGGGAAACAATTCGACTACACCTTGGCACCGCAGTGAACTTTTCTGTCCTACTGAGGCTATAAAAGGCGACTCTCCAAATGCGCTAAAAAGCATGCATGAAAATGGTCCGAAAACCCATTCCTAAGACTAAAAATAATATTTAAGTAAATACATTGATGTGCGGATAACGTGTATTTGATAACTTCAAATTGCTCTTCATTGTTTTTGCCCCTAATTCTCTTTGATTGGGGTAGTAACTTAGCCAAATGCCAACAAATTCACGCCCATAAAATGGTTTCGATTTGCGAATAATCATCTACATGTATTCTTAACTATTTTAGAGCAAAACTGTGTAGTCCATGAGATTTGGGGATGTAATAATTTGAGCCGACTTGTAACATCAAAACGAACTTACAATGTAGGTAAAAATATCCAAAAATCCACCGAAGTCCCTTAGCAGCGCATTTGGAGTAAAGATAAAGCCATCAGCTAAAATCTTTAGGGCAAGCTCAATTGTCATTCCAACAAAGAAAATGTATTCGCCAATCTGAAAAAATAAGAAGCTTCGTTAGGGGATAATGGGGTTTGTGCGATGAAAATATGCATTTCCGTTTTCAGCCATCATTCTGAATAGTCTTCATGTAACACGAAACAAATTCTGTCCATCGGTAAAGCACGCTTACATAAGTATCGCACTTAAAAACTCGACTAGCAAGGGACAATCCCAGCAATAGCAATACTTAGCCTCGATAGATTGTTTTTGAAGTATTAAATCGGGAGGCAAAAAGCATCGTCAGGAAAGCATACCTTAAGCTCTGGCGCATTCATGAGGCGCCGATGAGGCGTCTCCAGTGACATTGAAATACAAGAGAGAATTGTGATCGTTAGCATCGTCCAGTCCAGATACGTGACGAAGCCCAGAATCTTACTGTGAAAGTAAATGCATTTCTCTTGTCGCCAAATTGTTCATAAGGATGGTAAAAGTGCTCCTAACCACATAAAGTGAACTTGTGAATTACAATTAAATATCAAAAGCAAGTTTGAACCCCCCATTTTATATTATTACTAGTTGACAATATTTTCTGTTTTACGTAAACGTCAAATCATCGACCCAATGCTGCACGAACACCTACTGAATGCTGCCTCCATTACTGTCATTGCCGCTACTCGATCTGGAGGCCTTGTGTCGAGCTCTAACGACGAGGCTGCAAAACCGTCGCAGTCGGCTCTGTCGGCCAAGCGTGAAAAGAGGACGATCAAAGAGGGGATGATTTTCTCGCAACTCCTCTTCCTGCTGAGTCCTGTGGAGAAAAAGGCAATATTTATAAGAGACAGACAGCAACGTGGTTGTGAACGAGCGAGTGTGTGAGTAGAGGGAAAAAGTCGTTTCCACCTCTTGATCTCAGCCATTTGGGCTTTCTGTTGGAGCACCTTGATATCATAGTGGCCGGTGTTGTCGAGACCGGCGTGCGAATCAGCGGCAGAGTCGCTGCCCCCAAGGCCCGAGACGGCGCTGAGGCCACCTGCTGCACCACCACCACTGCCAGCGCCGCTGCCCATTCCCATTCCCACGCTCATCCCCATAGGGGTTCCATCGCGTCCCAAAAAAGCCGTCCCCAGCAATCCCCCTGACCGGTTTCTTAGACTTCTGCATTTTAAAAGCACACATGAGACTCCCTTTCGAGTAACTTAACAACTAAAACTAGAAGAAATCACGAGCTAAACGGAACTGGAAAATATGTAGAAAGCAGTCACAGCAATAAAAATTACGGTCTTTGGCTTGTATAAGTCCTACCAATTGTGTGGTAGAGCACTATAATGTTGGTGGTAATCACAAATTTCAAAGCGTTTCCTGGGTTTCGAAGCGTAATTATGGCGGTTAATATTTACAAATTGATTCTTGCGCAACAAAAACGTTTACATTTATGTTTGATATCTTAACAAAGCAGGTTTACCTCCTTTCAAGTCGAATATGATGCTGAGTTGAGAGTAATGAGCGACCGTTGGCGTTTGGCGGCTGGTCCATGCTGAGCATCCGAGTTTTGTTAGATTCACTACAAAGAAACACTTTCACTTAGCACTAGCACGTGTTTATTTTAAACCATAATGGACACCGACTCCCTTACAGTTAAGATTTTGAACAGTCTTCATACAATTAAAGTACAGTAGTAGTGACATTTTCTGACAAATTTTGTGTCATCATCTCAGTGCCACTTTAATTCAGTAGGCCCGAAGAGGTAAGGCAGAAAGTATTTGGTGGATAGGAAAGGACGCAATTACTTAGTACTGAATGAGGTTAAACAGGTGCGCAAACGCCTTGGGGAACGGGAGGCAGGAGAGCAGATGCGGTCGTAGCTGCCGCTAAACTGACGCAGCGCACCAATGAGGGAGCGATACGGTGGGCAGCAGCGTGGGGTCGATACGATGGCCGAGGCGATCGCCGCGGCGGCCTGAGTTGCCGCCACTTGCGCGCGCTCCCAAGTACATGGTAGTCAGTCGTCTTCTCGCATTACAACCTCGAGTCCTTCAGGAGGGTTTTAACTTTATACATCAATAACCCAATAAACAAAGCCTTCTCCTTTTCAGTTCTGGCACCCGTATATGCATGAGTTACCGATAGTACTTACAGATGCATAGCAATAATTATTTGATAGAAAACTTCCGAGGACCCGATTTTCATTGGCTCCAGAATTAAGTAGATGAGACAGTCCTATGATATATTAACTCCCCAAAAAGCATTTAAACTGAACCAGAAATCCCTATTATGGTCAAAATGAATCTTTCAAAGATTAAATCAGCGTCTTTTCAAATTAACCGACTGTTTTCACCAAGACATCAGTTGTGACAAAGTTAAAGGCAAGATGCGAAATGTAAACGAGTAAAGAGCAATTCCGGGTTGTTCATGAGTGCCCAATTGAAACCCAAGTAGGGTTTAGGCTATTCATGATATGGGAAAAAGGGCTTGATTACTTGAGGAGGTAGACAATAGCTCTGACTTTCTCCTCCCCATGAAGACCATGCACTTTGCGTCGAATTTCACGTGAGCAGGAGATGGCTGCAGCTGTCTCAGCAGCTTTCGATCGCCACCCACCGGCAGCCAAGATGGGGGTGCCACTGTCACCAGCGCCGCTAGTACCGGGCACAGAGTGCGATTGAGGGACTGGTTTGGCGCCAGGGCCGGTGCCACCACCACAACCGCCTCCTCCTCCACCCGCGCCCGCCGCCCCCACCGTTCCAGAGGCCGAAGCAAGGCCGCTAGGGATGAGGGCGGCGCTGGCGGAGATGGAGGCCATCGTTGTAGCAGCCGCCAGGATCTCCGACACCGCCTCTTCCTCCACCTCCTCCAGAGCCGATACTGCGGCGAATTGGCGCATGAAACTGTCGCGAATCTTGGGCAACAGGAAATCTGATACTAACCGCGTCAGCTTTACCATCTGCGGGCGGTTCCTGCCGTTCAATGTATGGACAAAGTACGAGAAAAATGGAAACATTATGCCTTCTAGAAATACCACTGAATTTGATGGTAATCGGAACTTTAACCAGATGCTAACATTATAACAAGTTTCAAATATTTTATTGGAAATAAAATGAAATTCCCTGATACGTAGTTACCGAAGTACAAACTTCCCAAACCGTTACTGGTACCTAAATATAACACAACAGACATTAACGCAATACCAGAACTCAGTCAAACGGAATCCTAGTTTCTTCAAGATATCGTGCACACAATGACTAAAAAGAACTCTAGTGTTGAACCTCATCCGAATATTTGATTATCAAGCCTGAAAAAGGAGAGATGTACGAAAGACAACTACTGAAAGCTTTCAATATGTAGAATGCGCAGTATGTATGTCCCTTGCAGTCATCTTTCCTGCATACCTAAAAACCGAAAGCCCATACTTAGCGTTGATGTGAGAGCTAAACTGTCAGTGAGTGACTTGTCGCTGTTGGTTCTGGGATTTATTACCATAATGTACTTGACTTGTTGATTCTGCGCCAAAAAATTACATTTCTTTGTAAAACACATCAGAGAACTGAGCAACCCCATAAAATAAAAAACTGAAGGAAATAACATTTAATTAGAGAGTGAGATCTTCATATTTACTCACGGAAATTTTTCGAATATTC